AAAGAAAAAATGATTTTCTTCTTCACATGGCAGGCAAGTTCAAGCCTTGCTTATGCACACCAGTGCAATTCAGTGTAATCTGTTTCTACTCCATGATTTTCTCCCAATGCATTTGTTTACATAATTTTATAAAATATAAATTCGAATCACTTCGGTGCAGGTTTACAAGTGAAAACAGCTCCTTTCTTTATCCTAGCAACACGTATTACGCTGCTGCTGATCTCTTGGAATAGCCTGTAATCAAGAAGAAAACACATTGTTTACTGTGAATTAATATGAAATTAGAAAGCTCGAGTAATGCATGTTTTTCTTCTCTCTCTTGCTTTTTTTTTTTTTTTTTTTTTTTTTTTTTTTTAAATGCAGCTAGAGATCCTGAATATAGAGTAGCATTGGGTTCTTCCAAATCAGTAGAAATATGCAAATTCTTTGCTTGTTTTTGATGGTTTCACTCACACAACTCACGCAGAGCTGGAACAAAAGCTTAGCTGAATTATTTTCTTTACTCCCAGGCATGTAGAAACCTTGGATTTGCTGTTGAAGGCACAGCACAATGCAATTGGCAGAGATGCAGAAACATGTACATCTTGCCAAAGCATGCACAAAGAGGAAAATGGAAAGAGGAAAACACATGAATTATGGAATTATGGAAATGTCAGGATTAAATCCCGATGCTAGTTATGTCAATGTAAATCCATGAATACATAATTTTTTTTTAATATATTATAACAGAAATTGTTCTCTGTCTTCTATTAAAAACAGTAATACCTTTTTTAATATAAATTACTCTGTGGCTCTTGTTTGTACGGGAACAAATACCTGCTTTTGAGTGTGATGAATTAAGCTCCTAGATACTTCTTTTCAGTTCTTACTCTGTGCTAGCTGTTGTGACATTTGATGCATGGAGACGGTAACATCAGATCTATGCATGTAAGATTCAGGCTGAAAAACTGAATATGAGTTACTCTAATTGCATTTCCAGTAGAAATTGAATTGAGTTAAACTGAATTTGACCTTGTCTATGCATTTTGTATTACATTTTGAAAAGCACAAATCCCAGGATTAGTCTCTGTTCCTTTGGTATGGCACTTCCACTGTCATTCTGACCTCTAAAAACAGTGTTGCAGTCCCTGAATGTTTCTGTTCCCCTTGGATGGCTTGGCCTAACCCCTTGAGTGCTATCAGCATCTTTGGGTCTGTATCAGCTATAAGCCAAGATCAGCTTCTCCATAGAGACTGTTTTGCTCACTTTCATTTCTCACCATGAAAATCATCAGTCCTACAGTTTGACACTGCTGAAGAGTTGGATCAGACACAGAACCTCATTCCAAATGTATCCCTAGTGTAGCCATAAAAAAACATTCTAGGAGAATGTATGCTTCTAGTATATTGTGATCCCAACTGAACCTCTCAGGTGGTCATTGGCCTGCTAGAAAATTGGAGTAAAGGATCAGTACATGAAGTGATCATTGGTGGCAAATGGTGACTCACCAGTCATTTTTGCCCAAATGAGCCAGTACAGGTATAAATGGAATTTGCAGCACTGCAAGACTAAAGCCAAGGCTCTGAGGCAGACTTGCAAGACAATTAAAATCAATTATGAACACCTAGCTATTGCAAAGTCATTGTCCTCTGCTACTGTGAGGATGATACTGTTAGTCAGGGACATCATATCAGTGTTTATGAGCATCTCTGTGGAAGGAAATACAGTTCTCCCTATCATTTAAAGGCAGTTGAGTCCTCTCAGGACAAAGATGACCATGCTGATAAGGTTGCTGTTGGCAAGAAAGCCAGAGAGGTCTCCCATGATTCCTAAGCATCTCTGCCTCACAGAAGATATTTAGGATCCAAGCTGTGACAGTATGAGTGCCTCCCATTTTTCTTTGTAAAAGGGAAAGCTTTAGGGATACATACGAGCCATTTTCTCAGTTTCAAAACCAAGACTTCAGGCCTTCATGAACCAGCACTCTGAGAAGGGGAGATTAGGATTCCTGTGTCACAGTCACGCATAAATCCCACCTTGCGTTTCAAGACTGTTTAATTTTTCTCTTAATTTATGTGTCATATTTTGCTTTGTTTTGCATTCAGAACATATTTCAAGATCCTTAGCTTAGCCCCAAATTAAGTTTGATATGATTCATCCCTATCCAGCAAGCAGACTCTTGCCCAGCGTCCTGTGTCTGCCCTGCTTAGAGGAGAAAAGGTCTTCCTGGCATTTCTCCTCTGCTTCTCATCCTGCCGTCACAGAGAAGCCTGACCTTCACTCTTTACTTCTGGTCTTCCCTCTACTCAATGCTTTGCTTTTTGGCTTTTGGCCTCCCCTTTCCACTTCGAGTTAAATGTAACCAATTACATGGCAGAAAGTCCAAGAAAGAAAATAAAAGCATAAACATGGAAACAAGAATACTTTGTTAAAAAAAAAAAAAAAAGTAAAAGTGTGTAACTGAATATGGCCATCCCCTTCTCAGACTCCTCTTTTCTCAAATTGTCAGTCAGTCATAGCTGACAATGTCAGAATGACTGAAATTCTGCTATGCTAGATAGGGAGAAAAATTTGGATACTAAGCCTATTAAAACAACTGTATTTCTGTGCTTAGAATCAACTAATGAAGCTTTTGTTGCTGTTGTTTAAGCCTCACCAAGGATATTGCTGCCACATCCTTAAGTCTTTTCTTTCTCATTCATTATTAGTTTTATCCTTTTTTTAAAAAAAAAAAATTTAACAGCATTGCACATTTTGTTTTTCTGTCCTAATTTGTATTTGAAATGCTTTCATACTCAGAAAGTTGGCTCCATAACATTTTTTACTACAAATCCTTGGATGGAAAGGCCTCATTTCTAGGATATGAACAAGTGATATAATGGATGATCCCAAATAACAAGGATTAAAAGACATGGAAGGAGACTGGGAAAATTAGGTTTCTATAATTCATAAGTGATAACAGTGGTCAGCACTATCTCCCAGGACATGCTATAACTGGAAATATAACTGAGTATATTTCACAAATCCTCGTTTAAAGCAGTAATGCTGACACCAGTCCTGGATTGCACTGGACTTTATTAACCAAAAAAATTAGTTTTATGTGGTTATGGTTACCCTAGGATCTGAAGTGTGACTCATTTTTGTGTTCTGCATTGATCTCAGACAAAACTCTACATCTCAGCTGAGAATGTATTCAGTATTCTTCATGCTGTTTCCATTTTGTAATAGCTTAGGAGCACCTGTGGAGAAGATCAATTTGTGATTTCTGATATTAAAACTACAAGAGTCAAACAATTTTATTGTTATAAAAAAGATTAGAATGACAAATTTTAATAAAAAGCAATATATAAAGAAGATGGATACAGGGATCTTGATTTTTTAACTTAATTTTTAAACATTAACTTTATTCCATAGAATTGAAGAATTTGGGAAGTCACTGTGTTGTTATTGTGGGAACACATAATCTGGGCATGGGATGGGTGTAATTATCAGTACCTGGCATGGTGCTATAAATACTCCTTCGTTTTATTTCAGTGTTTTAATACCTTCAGAATCACCTTGAAGTAGTTAGTGCCTGAAATCCAAAAGCTGTTGTTTTGTTGTATCCCTGGCATTCTCATGTTTCAAAAAGTATGTTAAACTATGAACATAAAAAGCAGCATTTGAAATCCATGTAAAGGCAATTGTCCTTTGATAATTGCATATCACATAGACTGGGCAGATTGATTCAAGTTATTTCACTACTATATGTTTTTTTGAGGTAAGGAAGAATAAAACTACAGCATACTCTATTAAGTCAGTATTTGCTATTTTGTAGTTAGTGACTTCACTACCTTTCTGGCCCACTATAGCAAAGTTTTTGGCTCCTGTCAATGTTAGCCACTGGAAATGACTCATGCCCGGTAGCTCTGATTTCCTTTCCCTCAGCCTTTGTGACATTCTCCAGAGTACAGAATGAGATAAGAGGAATTGCTCTGTGGAAAACGCCCACCATTGCTGCTCCTGTTAATGTCACCCAAAAAGATAAGTCTCGGATTTAGCATGAGAGAAGTCTGCTAAAAGTCCACGAGGAACGAAATCTCCTTGATCATTCTCAGAAAAAAGATCTCTTGAAGGGTGTATTTCCTGTTTACTTTGCATTGTGCTGAATATCTGAGGCTAGGTGAGGTAACCTGTTAGGAAAGGAATAATATTAGCATAATCACTGTTTTTTTAAAGCAACACGGTGGATGCATGGTGTTGTCATTTACAGACAACATCTCCTTATGCATGGACTGTGTGGGTGCCACAAAACACACGGCCATAATGTTTGGAGGGACTGAAGTCAAAATAGGTCATACTTTGTTCAGGGGAGAAGTTGACATGGGTTCCAAGCACCCAGCAGCCAGCACATGGCAATGCACAAACCTTCTGCTGTTCTCACAATGCTTGCTTTTCTGGTTTTCACGGTTGCTGTGAGGGGAGCACAGTTTAAAGGCTTTATGAGGAGGAAATAGGTGTTATAAAGGAAGGTTTAATCTGAGCTGGATGTGATTGGAGAAGTGCTCAGAAGGCATCGACTGATTAAAGGCTGGATTTACCAAAGAACTCTGAAATTACTGTAAAACACTTATGTGCTCTTTCTAAGCCTTTCTCATCAGTTTTATGTGTTCAATTAAATGACTTAGAAAACACATTCTGCCCATAAATTGAAACATTTTCCTGACTATTACCATAAACTAATTAGAATAAAATATCTTAATAATATAATTTTGTGTAGGTTTTTCTTTAGTATTTTCAAGCACACTTCAGGAAAATATTTCAATTTTAAGTCCCACAACAGGATTTATTGGTGCCATCTACTGGCTATTTACTTCTAAATTTCATCAAATTATGAATAATGTGTTTTAAATGCAGAATAATAAGAGCTTATTGAACCTCATAACTGAATCAGCCAACATCAAACTATGTAATTGGCAAATCTGTAATATTTAGGTTACATTAAGTCAAACTTTGGTACAATGTTCCAAAAATATAATTCAGTTATGATGCTTTTAGATGTACCAGCAGGAAAGAGCTCAAGCTGGCATAAAACCACTCATGTGTAGTACCCAAGCACCAAAGCCACAACCCCAACTGTATCTCAGAGCTAAGCTTCTTCATGACAGTTGCTGAACATTTTAGAGCCTTCCTCCCTCGTGCATGAGCACAAGGTGCATCTTCACACAGTAAGCAAATGCGGTCGTGGTTTTCTCCACCTTTCCAGGAAGGACATCTATGATAAAAGTTGAACAAGAGAAGGGTACTGCAGCTCATAGCCCAGGCAGGCTGCGAACATTTCTGGTGAGGATGAGTTTAAGCTAGATGCATGGAGTGTGGGCACTGAAGGGACTGCACACAACCTGTCCCTTCGTATCTGTCATGCAGGTGGAAGCAGCCAGCAGAACTTGGAGGGGAGCTGAAACCTCCCTGCTAACTCCATTAAAAAACATCTGAAAATGACCTGAGATTTGAACTATGCTCTAAATGTCTTAAACTCTTTGTAATAAAAAACTGCAATACTATAATAGTTTAAAGTGGCGCCAGAGAAAGGTCAGAAAATTAGTATTACATTAACTGAAATGTTAACAATATCTCCAGAGCCAGGTGAGCAGAGTACTTACACATCTGAACAGCTGCATCCCTAATCAGTGATGTATTTGAGCACATGCTTAAAACACTTAATCATACTTAAAAGAGCTTCGCTGGGTACCAGTGAGAATATTCACATTCCTCACTCTGGTTAGTCAAGACCTTTATATAGCCAGAAACAAACATATTTAGATTGTGGCTCTGGAATAACTTGCTCAACAACTAGGTTCAGAGGAAGCAATATGCATTAAAAGTGCAATTGAAAAAAGGGCTCATCCTTCCTCTTCTCCACCTTTTTGCAATCATGTAACAATAACAGTGGAGTTTTTAAGGGAGGAAAACAAAGTCATTTAGTCAGAAGTGTGTTTTTGGAGACTTAATTTATGTATGAAAATGCATTTTGATAGAAGGAGCTAAGGCATCACTTAATACAAAGCTATATTACACAGTATGACCTGCAGAGCTCACAGCTAAGGCTGCTGAACTCCTCACCACACTCTATTTTCAGATTGCTGGTTACTTTGGCAGACTGGCCCAGTTTTATTGAAAGGGTGCCTGTGTCAGCAAAATTTCTTATTAAGGTATCATGAAAATTGGGTTTTTCCTATATTAAAATTATAACAAAAGCTTTTCTGAGAAGCTGTCAACTCTAGGTGCTGGGAAGCAAAGATCATCCACTTGCTATTGATTGTCCTAAGCTTTTCTTTTCTTGTTTCCAGGAAAATGCCTCCAGGCTTAGTCAATGAAATTAAGAAGGAAGGAGAAATCAGTAGAAACCTGCTGGAGTCTGAATCTGCACTGAGCACAACCTATCTGCAAAGTTCTGGTGTATCTGAGGAACTGATGTGTTTCCTGAGCAGAGCACCTCAGTAACTTCATTAAGAGCTAGGCAACATCTGTCTTCTGCAGAACCTGAGTGGGAACTCCTGTACTCTCCCAGTGCTCTCATTGCCAGACTTATTGCATATGTGGTCTCAGCACTCATGAAAAGAAAAATGTAATGTTTCTCAAATGAGAAGGAGCTACTGAGAGACAGTAGGGTAGAAGCCAGCTGGAGGATGAGAACTGGAACAACGACAGAGAATAACAGAGGCCTTTGTAGGCTGGAGCACATTAACTTCCACAACCTGTACATAACAAGATTTCATTAATGCCACCTGTGAAACCCGCTGGGGAAATGTTAGTCACCTCCCCACTTGTTTGTATAGCAAATTGAATTCCATTACTGCTATCAAGTTACTCCATTTGCTCAAATGACTGAGCTATGTGGATCGGAGGCAGGTAGCTATAAGTTTGCTTGTGATTCATACAGGTGCCAAGATGGTTTTACATAGGGGGATCTAGTGAGGTTTTGTGTATATTTCTGTAGGAAATTATGCACAGAAGATCTGCACAGAGAGAGATTTTGTGGTCCTCTGAATAAAGCTATCACAGAACGGCTTAAGTTAGAAGGGACCTTACTGCCAACCCAGTTCCAACTCCCAGGCATGGGCAGGGCTGCCACCCACCAGATCAGGCTGCTCAGGGCTCCATCTAACCTGTCTTTGAGTGCATCCAGAGCTGGGGCACCCACAGCTTCTCTGGGCAGCCTGTGCCAGATTTTTTCTAACATCTAACCTAGATTTCCCTTATTTTAGTTTAAAACCATTCCCTTGTGTCCTATCGCTATTAGACCATATAAAAAGTTGCTCCCCTTCTTGATTATAAGCTCCCTTTGCTCACTGAAAGATTACAGTGACGTATCTCTGGAGTCTTCTATTGAAGAAGCTTGCAGTTTCTCTAGTGTGCAGCTTCACACTCTCCACAGACGGATAGACAGATGACTTTAATGCCGGGTAAGTATGCCTGACTCTGCACAGACTACGCTGCAGCACGTCAGCAGAGATGCTGCGCCGCCTGAACCTCTGCCGACCATTTCTGAGGCTGGTTTGCATGTCTCGGTATCTGGTGGTTCCTGTTCCTGCAGCACAGAGCGAGTCAGGCAGCCACACACCTGTCTGATGGGACCTGAGGAGGCTCCGTGCAGCGGATCATGGCTGCCTTCCCCTAGCAGAGGCCTGGCAGTTGATCTCATTGGGCTCAGACATAACAGAAGATGTGGTGGGAGAGAATTCACAGACTCTTGAGCTCAGCCTCCAGAAGGCAGCTCCACCATGAATGCCAGAGCCAGGTGCTCCTCCGTCTGAATATTATTGTCTTTTTTCTCCAAGCTGATCCCGGTGCTCTGCAGGAACGCTGTGTAGGTGCTCACAGAGATCGGCTGTCAGACCCCGACGGAGCACCGTCAGCCTGGCTCAGCACGCTGCTCGGAAACAGATCTCAGCAACGGGCTGACGGGAGGGACAAGTCCACTTCTCGATTCCTGAAATTCTCTTAAGTCACAGTTACACAACGCGTTGCATAGGTAATAAGCCCTGTCAGGAAAACACAACTGCCAGATATTACAGAGAAGGGATTTTTCACTCTGTATTTGTGCGAGCGCTTCGCTGAGATCCCTTGAACTCAGGGCGGACGGACGGAGGGACTGACTGACCCAGGGACCGACCCACGGCCGCTCACCAGAGCGCAGGCAGCGACCTGCAGCGGGCCGAGGGGCGGGCAGCGCTGCGCCTCCTCAGGGGGAGGGAGGGAAAGGTGCGGCACCGCCCCGGCCCCCGCGCCGCCCTTTCAAGTATCGCGTGAGCGGCCCCGCTGCCCGACGCCACGTCCTGCCGGTGCCGCTGGGAGCGGCGGCCATCGAGCCGGGAGGGGGCTGCGCAGGGTGAGGTGAGCGCGGGGAGCGGGAGCGGAGACGGCGCGGGTCGCGGTTCGCCCCGGGGAGGCCGCCGAGGGGGGCGGCGGGAGGCGGGCCTCGCTGTGAGGGGGCGGCGGAGGCGCGGCCCGGGCGTGGTCGGGCTGCGGCGCCGAGCGAGCGAGCCCCGGCTGCTGGCCGACCGCTGGGCCGCCTCCCCGCCCGGCCCCGCGGGCACCGCTTCCCAGGGCGGGGCTGGGAACCGAACGGCGGCGCTGGGAGCGGCCGGCTCTCCCTCGGGGCAGGTGGACGTCGGGAGGACGCTCTCCTCGGTGGGAGCGGAGCGCGGTGCGGCCCCGGGGAGCTGCCCGGCGCTCCGGGCTCTGCGCGGGGACCGAGGTGGGGTTGTCGCGTCCGTTCATTGCCCCGTGTCGTCTCTTCCTGCCTTTGCAGGTTGAAGAAAGAAGGGATTTAATGAACTCGCGGCCGGTCGAAATGGGGAGACGCCGAAAGTAGCAGCAAGGTGCCTGATCGGCCTTCTGCCTCTGCTGCCTGACCTGCCGCCTGTGGAACGAGAAGAGGAAGATGCGTGTTCTGATCCTTGTGGAAAGACAGTCCGTGTAACTGCGGGTGGAGGCCATGTGCTGAAGTGGGACAGCCTGACAAAATGGGGGTGCTCGTGTTCTTCGTGCCTTATAGCTTGCTTCTGGCTGCAGTGCGAGGGCACAGCTTGTTCACGTGTGAACCGATTACGATTTCCAGGTGTTCAAGAATGCCTTATAATATGACTTTTTTCCCTAATATCATGGGACACTATGATCAGGACACTGCTGCGCTCCAGATGGAGGTGAGTTCTTCCATCCCTTCTGTAGGTGTGTAAATATAAACGCTGTGAAATAAATCCTGATTTGTCATAGGGACATAGCTGATAATAGTGTTATCTGTTGTACTAAGTGATGAGGCAGATAAGCTGACTAGATAGCACTTCTTTGTGATGCTTTTGGCTGCTCTAGAGCTGCTTGGTCATGTACGAGTGTATATAGGCACACAAAACATGGACATCTCTTGGATTCTGTATTACAGTGGCAGAAGAATGAGTGCAGTGCATCGGTGTGGCTGTTCAGAGCCACACTGAAACAAAACTGGTTGCGTGTAGCCTGTGTACCTCACAGAGTGATTCTTGAAATGCTCTAGGATTATAGCTTATAGTATTGGCCCACCTGAATTCAGCTGATGCAAACATAGTATTTCTAAGTCATTGTTAGTTCTTCTCTTAGCTTAGTTCTTCTCTTAGTTGACATCTGTGATGGAGAGGTACCTAAACTTATTCTTAGCCCTGCCTTCTACTATTTTTCTGATTTATTTATTTCACATTCTGCTGTCATCTGACCAAATATAGAAAATCCTGACTTTTCAAACTGAAACCAAGCACTTTCCTACCAGAGCTGACTGTAACATGGCTCCCTTGAGAGAATGCCACCTCGTGGAAAGGCTTTGCTAATTACAATAGCTATAGAGGGTGAGAGCCTCTCTGGGTAAGAGGCTTGTAAAACAAGTTTAAAACCTGTTTTAGTAATGCCTTTTCGTGGTAAGAGGAGGGGGAGCACAAGTCTTGAAACACAAGTCTTGAAAAGCTCAAAGTCTTGTGCAGTGCAGAGAGGGGAAAAAAGAGGCGAGTTTTAAAGCTCAGAAGTTTCTGGTGGTTTGTTTTTTTTTCTTTTAAAAAAAGAGAAGGTAGTCTTGTTGAAGGCTACAGTTGCTGAACTCTTATTTGCATATTCATTACTGAGCTTGGGGAAGGAGCTTGGTTCAATTGCCAGAGCTATTCGGAATACTCATGATTACCATTTTGGCCTCTAGCTGCCAGTCTAGAAGGGCAGAGGCTTGTATCGTGTTTGTCAGCCCACTGTAGATGTATGGGAAATTCCAGTGTCAAATGCTAAAATATTTGTATGTGAGCAACTGAATTCAGCTGCAGGTCTCAGATTATTTCATGTGATTCTAAACTGGGAAGCAGGCTGTCGGCTTGAACTCTGTGCAGTGCTCTCTGCAGTCATTGCTTGTCTGGAATGCTCTCTTTCTATAGTGTCTGCCACTGTGTCAGGCACAGAGGTGGTTCTTGCTAGGTATGTCTTCAGTACAATTGCTGGAGTGGCTTCTATCACTATCCACACCTTCCAGTAACACCGCTGTTAGAGCATGCAGACCCCTGTTGCCTCTTTTTGTTGTTGTCTACGCACTTCTCAGGTACCTGAAGCCCATATGTGCTGATCTGCCTTCCTCTGTTTGTGACTGGACTGTGCTGCCTGACTGGTTGGCCAAACAGAAATGGCCAGACACCTGCCTTACTGGTGAAGGCGTGAGGAAGTTTTCCCCCTCTCCTCTTTGTGCAGTTTCTATTGAATGTAGTGCTAGCAGTTGAACTGGAGTTAAGCAGTAAAGTCAGTGCAGTTTGTGGTTGGGCCTGGAGAGCAGTGCGTGCTTATGGATTCTGAAGTGAATATATATGGTGTTCAGTAATGGTGTTGGTATACTTTGGGAGTGATTGATTGCAACAGTGAGCTTCTCAGGTCTGCAAGGTGCTGCTTTTCAGGGAAGCTGGTGTTGCAACAGAGAAGGAGGAGTTAGTGATTTCTGGAATATGCTTTAATTTTGTTTTACAATCATAAAAAAGCAGCTGGTTGGGAGGTGAGGAGACTCTTAAGAGCTTGGATTTTTCTGTGGTTGGTAGACTAAACTTCATTTGTACCAAGGAAAGAATTTTAATCGTGTGTTGGTTAAAACATCTTTCTTTTGATCCTCAGTAGGAATGCTTAAAGGCTTTGGTTTTGAATTCCATCTCTTTTTTCCCCTCCCCACAACTTGTTCTCAAGGCTGGGCATGGTCTTACAATGTAAACACAAGGTTTTGAGGCTGACACTTGCTTTAATTCCCTTACTTGATCTTTGCTGAGTTTGAGCAAGTTTCTTAATCAAAGCAATCCCAGGACATATGGTGGAGATTTCTTCATGAAGTTGAAGTGTTTGGTGCAGGAAGTGTTTTCTGCTATTCTGCATTCTGGAAACTTATTTCCATTATTTATTCAGACTACTGTTTACTCCTAGGAAGAACAAAGAATAGTCAGTGAAGGGGATGACACTCCATCTGAGTGTGAAGTTTAGTTGTCCAGAACTTTGCATTTCTCTCTTCTGTTGTACTTCTAAAGCTCAACAGGGGTGTTCTCCTGTAGGGAGTCTTTTATAGTTGGAGGAGATGTGACTTCCAGCTGCTGGACCACAAAAACTTCCATAGTGCTCTTCTTTCTGGAAGGATGTTCAATGGGTGTTTTTAGGGCTGGTATCTTTCCAGTCCTCCTGCAGGAGGGGATGGTGTGGAAATAGTCTCAGGTGTTGGTTTTCCTTCTGGAAATCAGCTGGATCACCATGAAGTCAACCAATTCATGGTACTGGCACAAGTGTTGGATCTTCATGTTGATATGCTATAGATCAGAACACCAAACTAATTACAGCAGCCTCTGTTATGCACGCTCTAATTAACAATGATAATTTTCTTGGATTCTTATTTTCTGCGATAGGAAATCTGTAATTTCCTGTTGTTCTCCATCTTTACTGAATTTTTGGCTTTGTGAACTGAATTTAAGATCCTGGAGTTTTGTTTATGCAACAAACAAAAATTTTTTGAAAGACCCACCATATGACTTAGTGGTGTGAAGCTTTTAATGTGTTACCTAAGCACCTGTGTGACAGTGGAATCTAATTATTTGCAGATGATTGCTGTATGTGTGTCTCAGAGCAATTTAACAGTGGCACTGCTCATGTTCTTACTAACTCAGAGTGAGAGACTGAAGAGCTAGAGTTTTTTCAGAGGAAAACAGACAGGTATGACTATAATGAAGCAGGCATTCTGCTGCTCTTCTGTAGTTGGAACTCCCTCTCGTGGTGCTCCTCAAAAACAAGTCACTTCTAATTTCAGTGTAATTACTTCAGCTATCCCAGAGTTGGTGTCAACACAAAGAATCGTTCCATCAGAACAGAGAATGTAACTCTGGTTTTTCTGTGGTCAGAGTTCTCAATCTGTTGTGATAGAACCACGTATTTGTGATGAGTTTGGTGTAGCTGATTGCAGCAGTGGCAGGAACTGAGAACTAGAGTCAGTTAATCTACCAAAATTGGCTTGAAGTGGTGGATTAAGAAGTACTTTCAAAAGTTTGATATCAAAATTCTGTGGCTTTCTACTTCTGTAAATTCAACGAATTTGATTTTTTTAATGTGATCTCTTAACTTGCCTTCTCTAGGTATGAATTTGCAATTAATTCAATATGAAGATGTGTGGAAAAACTGGAAACATGTTGTCTACCAAGCTTAAATACTATATATATATTCTGATTTATATAGCATAACACACCGGCAGGAGGAATAAGATCAGGTTTCCAAGCTTGTGTAGGTTGGGAGTGTTGGAGAAGTGCTGTTCAGTGTGGAATGCTTTTACTGGGATGTTCTGCATAAGTGTGAATTTACTGAAACATGTATAGACAGGCACCCTGCCTCTCTCCATACAGTATGTAAACCATTAATACTTCAGGATTGGAAGCCAAAATCTCTCAAATTCTTGGTAGTTCAGCTTCAATTAAGAAAGCAGTGGATATTCTATATCTGCTTGGAGTTGCTGTTTGTTCCTCATACTGCCTCAGAGCCTAAGCTGGAGAAAAGATGCAAAGGTATAAACAAGCACAAGGAGCTCCTGCTTATAACATCTGTGCTGCTTTATTACATCTACATTTATTACATTACTTGCATTTATATATTGCTATATAAGTGGTGGTAACTGCCAGGGAAGGCTTTAAAAAGGAAAGAGTAGTGAATGTAGCATGCTGTGCATCATTCAGTTAGTACAAAGTTAACTTATTTAGCTTATTGAAACAAAAGATTTAGGTGGTGAAATAAGTAAAGTACTACTTGTTAGAATAACATTTGCGAATGCTGAAATTCCTTATAGACATTTTGTATTGATCAAAGGGAATATGAAGTATGACTTCTGTGCCGGTTAAGTTTGTGGAAGAAGAGTAGCAGCTGGACATGAATAACTCTCCTTTGTGCATCACAGTGTTACTTGTGGAAAAGCTTTGGCTTCTGGATCCCAACGTCAATTACACAAATCCGTATGACTTTGTGCAGCTCTCAAATTCAGTGAGTGCTTTGGTGCTCTTTTGCACTTGCTCTCAGGTGTTTCCAAGGTGTGATTAGCTCTTACACTAGTTGAGAACTTCAGCAGTTCCATCTTTGCTAATTCCTATGGATGCGTTGAATTACAGCCACTAAAAAAGTATGTGTTACCTGTAATACCATGGCCTGTCATCAGGTGTAATGAGCTTGTGTTCCATTGTCCAAAACCAGCAAGTCTAACGTATATAGCCTTACTATGGTGGCTTTATGCATAGATGCATTAGATCCAGTTACCTACTGGATCTAATGTTTGGTCTGAACAGCATCCCCTGTCTACTCGATAATGTGAATAATACTGCCTTGCTTGTTGTATTGAAAGGATGCTGCTTGGAGTCTAGTGGGGTCCAAAGTAATACATGCTTGAAGAAGGGCGATTGTTTGCCCTGTGCCAAGTGTGTCAAGGTGGTGCTAAATGTGATTCCCAGATCTTTGCCTTTCCCAGTGTTTCAGAGCTGTGTCCATAAATAGCATGCAGCTTGTTACAGGAGTGGATCACTCGGTGAAGAGCTTAGTGTACATTCCTTCTGCTGCGTGAGATTGAGGGGCTTTACTGGACTCAGAGCAGTTCTGTGCATGACATTTGAAGCTGGCCTAACGAGGGCTGTCATCCAGGTCTTTCTCAATA